TCGTTACATGATTCCGTTCATCATGCTTGGCCTTCGATGTGCAGTTTATGTGCAGACCGACAGGAAGGCACTGAATCGGACGGTTACACTGAGGAAGAGAAGCTTCGCTTAGCGCAGGCTTGGTTGACGAAGGGGCGCAGCTTGATGCCTGGTGTCCACGGGGACGACGACGACGGGAAGACGGTGATATTCATCAGCACACCACCATGAGGTGAGCAGTATGCTGGCCTCACCAGCTTCTGCGTGTCTTTTGGCAGCAACTTCTTGTGCGAAAACCTGAGTCACCCTGGATATAAATTGCAACGAAGTGATCTCTGATCAGAAAGCCCGGTTAAACCAATCCGGTTAGCCCGAGTCCACCATTTGCCCAAGCAGGATAAGTAGGATGAAGCAATTTCTGATTGAAGCACCCAACATTCTTCGAAACGGCTAACGTCCTCACTTCCCTGCAAAGGCAAGGCATGATCGAAGAAGGCACACTTAGTAACGCGGCATCATGGGGCTTGTTGCCTTTAGAGACTTCCTTAACAACTCCGTCAAATTGATGGCCTTCCAAATCTCTTGCAGAGGAATGTTCTTGACCTCTCACCAGTTCTGCCTGCGCGGAGATGATGCTCGGAGTATCGACTTGCCTGATCTGTACTCAAAAACGTACCAGCACGTCGGGCCGGACGTCCCTTTGTACGTGGGAGGCGTCAACTACTCGGGGAAGACCAACAAAGTGAGGGCTTATACACGTGCTCGAGGGTGGGAAACTGTCATGCTCGTCGATAAATTTTCCTGAACCATCAATTCGTCTATGTTTCCTAGGGTGAGTTGGCTATAGAGGGCGCCGTCAGATGCGAAAATGGCTTCGTGAAAAGATCCTTCGGACAGACCCTTTCGCCCACCTTTCGCCCAACTTTTCCCATTGCAGAATGGGCGTCTGGAGTACTTCGGCGGCATCCGCCACATGCAGGTCGAACAATGTGCGGTCGGGGCGGTCGCCATGCAGCTTTTTCAGACATTCCACCTATTGGGTGCTGGTGTCCCTGACTTCAGCAGCAGAGAAAGCTGGTGGGTACTCGTTCGATGAGGAATTCACTCATTCTGCTTCGTGAACTACGCTAACCGTCAATCAAGAGCAGGTTTTTGTATTTGAATGATAGCGGCTTTTAGAGCCGGGTACAAAGTGACAGAATCAAATCCTGTCTTTCGAAAGTGAATATCAACAGCGAAGATCGGTAAGGCCCAAGGTTATAAGTCTAGGCCGTAAAAATTTGCAACTTTCTAACAAAGCATTGATTAACCTCTGGACTAGGTACCGCTCTTTCTGGCTAGCTTCCCATTGCACGGGCTTCATTACTAGATTTCTTACTCGGTTCTCAGGTGTTTCGCAGGTACAACTTGCTTCCTCTCTTCTACGAAAACGATGACGTCAGCAGTAACGTGACGTATAATACGCAGCTCAAGCACTTCAAGCAGGCATACCGCGAGCAGGAGATTGTATCTGGACAGCAAGCTTACGCATGCGCCGCGCGGCGCATTAGTGCGGCATGCTGAGAATAACGGGTGAGTAAGTTCACAGCGATCAGGACCCTTTCGAAAATAGAATCTCCTCGTCAGGATGCCAATCTCAAGCTGCCGCAACCCGTTCTCAGACCGCCTTTGCGTGCTGATCTGGATGCACGGTGTGGGCCACCAACACGGGCAGAGTGAGAGTTTCAATCTTGGGTGCAAGTAAAGCTCGTCAATCCCTGAGTTTCGAGGGCGTGTGTCTCGTCACCCGAAGCCGCTCCTTCAAAGCCCGACTGGCAGTACAGGTCTTGCAAGAGTGTTTGGGGTCTCGCCAAATTGATCTCGGGAAGGCGCTGATACAAGGGCTCTCCACAAAAGCTTACTGATCGTCTCGGTCTCTTGTGTTCAGCGCCAAAGAAGCTGAGAGTGCTCGGCTCGGCCGTTGGATCTACGACCACTTCCGGACTTCGTACCTGCCAGTGCATCAACTTCCAGTTGGGATCATGCTCGTTCAGGCGGGGTTCAAGGACGATCGCAAGGGGTACTTCCTGCCACGTGGTCGGGTGCTCCCCTCACAGGATGAGTACCCAGGGCTTGCGAACCAGATCTTTCCATGGGCCGACGAGGAGCTGCGGAAGGTGAAGCAGGTATGCTCATCATTACTGCTGGAAAGGTTGTCTAGGGGCTTTCCAGCATCTTCGGCTCTAAGAGAACTAAATGATCTGGCTGCAAGCACGCTGCTTGCGCTGCTTCTCGTCGTTGCTTCCATCAAAACCTTTTGACGACTATGCTGCACATTTTGATCTTCCTTTGTGCAGAGGAATCTGACGGGACCAGCCGGCCAGCACGACATCGCCGCGCAGAAGTTCCTGGAGCTGCTCATTGCGCTGCGGGCGGTGCTGCTGCAAGACGTGGCACTCCTTCAACGGATGGGCAAGTACGAGAACCATCCCATAATCTACCACCACTTCTTCGAGGGAGAGAAGTGGGACAAGTTTTGCGGCGCTGTGGAAGAGGTGTGCAACACGCCTGCTCCTCCTCCGGAGCTCGCGAACATTCCCCCTGAGGTAAGTAAGGACACGGCCCGAGATCCTAAGTATTGAGGACGTCACGTGCTGGAGGACTTCGTTAATGTTGTCGAACAGGGCACGAGACTGCTTTAGCAGGGTTGATTTACATTCTCAAGCGACTGGATTTGTGCAGCCCGCCGCTGTCTGTCGGGAAGGAAGCCAAGTTTCGATCTAAAAAACATTTGCTGCGACAAGGGCCGAGGGACAGCAGGATCCACAATCAGTTCATGCGGACAGGCTTAGATGAACGGCAGAACATTCTGTCAAGCTTTCGTCCTGATGAACACGAACACTGGTCCATGGATCCGTAGGTTCGACTTTCAAGGTCAACATGCCCTTAGCTTGTGATGAGGGCAGATGCTTCTCGGAAAAGTAGTTCAAAAGATAACAAGGGAAACAGCTCAAGCTGTATTGGGCAGGTCTCTTCCCGCATTTGAAGACACTGATTTTCCGTCGGGAGTGGTGTCTATTAAATGGCAAGAGCCAGCTTTTCAACCCAAGGGTTTCCTTCCGCCTTTGAAACCGGCTCGTGGGTGCAGGTGGTTGCCGTTTTGCAAGACCAACAGGTCCAGCTCGCGCGCATCGAGCGAGAGAGCCAAGCCTCGAGGGAGCGCGAGCAAGCCCTGCAGAGCCAGATGTCCGCCGTGCTGCACGTGCTCGAGCGGCTTGTGTCAGCGTTTCCGGGGGAAGACAGCCAGGCGCCGACACGTGCCCCGTCGGCCAAGGCCGCTGCCCAGTCGCCAGCAGCCCCGGAGCCTCGGCGGACCGCCACAGGGTTTTTTGCCCGCCCTCCGTCGGCGCCTGTCGCGGCCGCTGCGGAAGTTGCTCTTCGAGCTGCTGCTCAGGCCGCACGAGCGGCAGCAACACAAGCCGACATTGAACAGGCCACTGTTTCGGATCCGAATGAGAGCGGTCAGGCGAGCAACGAGGGGCGCGAAGCGGCGGGTGAGAGGCCGGGCTCTGCGAACACCAAAAACTTTTATTCTCTTGGTCCAGGTCGGGCACTGTCTAGGGCCTAGATTGCGTTAAACGGTGTCAATTGCTGGCAATCTCGAGAGTCGCTCTGGAGCACCTCTTGTAGGTGTCAATGTGCGGACTGCCTTATTGCAAGAGAATTCCAAAGATGTCTCGATGAATCACAGCTTGTGCTCAACCCCTTTCATTATCTATTTGAAAGTCGCTCGTGACCTTTACACCTTTACTGCGAAGCAAAGGGATTACTTCGCATTCAGGTACAAGAACGGGCCGACAGTCGAGCGCCTCAGCGCTTCTGACGGAGCTAAGTTAGATTTCACCATGAATCCCTTGTCTCCAGGTGTCGACTCGGTTGCCCGTCCTTCATCCGCTCCTGTTGCGGCCGCGGCTGAGGCGGCCCTCAGAGCCGCTGCCGAAGCAGCTAAGGCTGCTGCCGTGCAAGCGGCAGCTGACGCGGCCGCCACCCAAGATCCGGACGCGCTAAGCGGCCAGGACGAGAACGACGCACGTGCCCCTCGGACAACCGCCCAGGAGACCGTTCAGCGTGAGACAGGTAATTGGGATCTGAAGCACGCACGTAGTGATATTGATCGCCGTGGGTTTGCAACGAGACTGACTTGGTGTCACGTGTAAAAACTTCAAACTTTGCAGATGTTGCTGAGCGTTGCATTTGTTGATTGAGACTCATCTTTCGCTCAATCACTGTCGTTAAGTGATCGAGAAGCCTTTGCATCGTCATCGGAGTTCTCAGTTCGCATACGACAAAGGATCCGCCCAACACAGTCCACCAGCTAGGATAAGTCGGCATCTAAACAGGTCTACAGTAGAAGCACATTTTCTTCAATCATTGAGGTTCGAAGGTCTTGATACCTCATTGACTTTCCTTGTGGAACATTCTTCCAGTTTTCAGTAAGCCTTATACTCTTGTCAAGCAATGACGGGGTCCTTCAAGACGTCTTTAATTTATACCAGAGGAGGAATGCTTTAAGTGCACCTGACGTTGTTCTCTGCACTGATCAGGTTTGCGTGAAGGGCTCGAGCCGGCGAACGGCAGTCAGAACGTGACGAGCTTTCTGGAAGGTGAAATGGAAACGGAAGAAGCGACCGGGGAGGGCTGCCGGCAGCCTCAGTCGGAGGAGGAAGGGGCGAAAGAGAGTGAAAACCGTTCGGAGGGCGAAAAAAAAGGAGAAGTGGAAAGTGAGGCAGGCGGGGAGAGCGGGACGACTTCGCAACCTTGTTCGGAAGGAAACAACGGAAAAGACGATGGGGAGGAAGCGGGTACTTTTAGAAGCTGTCCGACAGCAAGTCAAGGCGATGTCGGGGTTAGCCCAAGTGGCTCGGGGAGTGGCGGTTTAGGGGCAGCGGATGAGGGGACAATAGAAGATGCTTCGGTGGTCCCCGAGTGGGCTTTGAATTATATGATTGGGGGACACTACACCTCGGTTGCAGAGATTTGGCAAGAATGGGCATACGGACAAAAAGGGTATCCCTTGTCTTTGAGACGTATGGAGGAGCTGTGGGGTACTCGCTGGAGAAGAGGGCGAGAAAACGAAAGCAAACGTCTCTCAAAATTCCGGAAGATTACAAGTTTGGTCGAAATCGTGTTGAGGCAGGGCAATGTAGGCGAGGCGGCAGCAGTACAGGCCGTTGAGAATAGCATGATTGCATGTGGCATAGATCCGGCGCAGCCATGGAAATATTGTGAGTTGCTTCGAGAGTCAAAAGCTGGCAATTCTGATGAACAAGACGAACCGGCCAGGCAAAAAGGAAAGCGGAAAAAAACAGGTCAGTCGGAGTCAAATAGGAAACGCAAGAAGTCCATCGCTTATTGACGAGTTCACATAGCTAGGTTTGCAGTAACTTCGAGTACGAGTTGGGGAACGAGAAGTAGACTGCAATTGCTGGCTGTTCAGGTTGTGAGTACTGGCATATTGCAAGCAGATCAGCGCAGTACTTTGCCGCAGGTTCGACACAAGCATGAAAGCATATGTTGTATGGCTATTTTGAACCACTCCGGAATGATGCATGTGTTGTCACTATATACGCGTGTCACGGCGTACATGTTAGACGTTGGCAAAACTGTTCGATGTGCTGCCTATGTACGTATGCATGCAGTCATTGCGCATGTTAAACGTGAACTTCGAAAACAATTATCTGAACGGGCGCTCATGCCAGCAAACGCAGCAGCGTCACACTACGCCTACGTACTGATCGGAGGTACTATTTATCCGTGTCACATTAGAATCTGATTGGCTAGACGTACGGGACTTGCGATCCGCGTGATTTGCACTGGCATGACTGAGAGAGACTAGCTGAGCAGTGCATGCTAAATATGTAAGCCCTAAGTCACAAGGCCGCCGCGCCGGCTGCATATGACGTGCATATACCATTGCAATCATACGAACTTTTAGTGATCGCACAATTGAATGCGTCCGTCTGTTGCAACAATTGAGCTAGTCGAGATCGTCCTTTGAGCTGACAAAATTCTGTAGGCTACTAAAGATTCACAGTGGTAGACAAGCTTACTACTGTGCGCGGCGGCGTGATACGTTGGTGGCCGCGCGATTGCCAGTTGGCTTGAATACCAAAACACGGTTCATGCACCTTAGACCTGACCAAAGGCGTGCTCAGAACCTTGTATTCCGAAGATCTTGGCTAATAGTTCTGCCCGAAAGTTCTGTCCCAAGATTTACCACCATCTTCGCAGGGACAACAGCCTTCGAATCTCATGCTTGCGCGGCTCAGTGGGCCCCCTCCGGTGTTGGCCGGGTTCTATATGCCCCCCCTCAGGCTGGCCGAGACACCTGCAGGCTGTCCAGAAATGTGTTAATGGAGACAGTGGGAGAAGCGAAGTAACTTCGAAGTCCCCACTTGAACCGCCATTGATATGGCATTATGTGTTCTTTTCGGGCCCGACCATCCTCCACTACTACTCCACAAGTTGTTTCGACCTGACCACGGTTGCAAGACAGAACTTCAACTTTCTAGAGTGGAATGGAGCGACCTGCACGACTTCCGCGAACTTCAAGGAGCAGATTGTAGGGCGGTCACGTCCCATCAACAGTGGAACCGCTGTCCGTTTCGATGCGTGCTTTCTATCTACGAGTCAATTGTTTTAAGTTTCTTCGAAAGTTCCACGGTCCGTTTCTTCGTTCTGAATCAAGACAAGCACAGACATCAGGATGTCAAGATTCCAACTAGGATAAGGTTACCGCCTTTCCGCGAGGTCGGCGACGTCAGACTCTTCACAAGAGACTAGATCCAACGTATGAAAAATGAAAACGTAAGCTGACAGCCTGGCAGTACGTCAAAGGAACTAAGCTGGCAGGATCCTGGCAACAACAGCCCAAGCCTACGCTTCCAAGCAGATCAGTCTTCCCTCACCGTATGGCGATGAGATGAACTCCGCGGCTGGGTTCTTCAAGGCTCAGTACTCGTGCCCCGTGTCACAAATTGTCTTCGAACCGGCGGGCTTGGACGAACTCCGTCAGAGGAACTCCCAAGAAATTGCATCCTGCAGGTTATGATATAAACGTTAACAAAGGTTAGACTGATCTGCACAATAAAGCAGATTGAACCTGCTCTTGTTCGAAAGACTTAGTATGCAGTCGGCTCAAAAGATGAGCTCAAGAGATGATTGAGTGGCAGTTGATGAAAGGCCCAGATCATTGCGGTTATTATTTGGAGGACTGCTCAAGCTCCTGGCACACGGTACTCTGTATCCGCACCACTTTGAATAAAGAGCTTCGAAGAGAAACAGCCATATCCCCTCCATATCCTTGGATGATTCTCGAAGCTGGACAAGCTGAATCTAGCCCTGAAAGCTCTACTAGTACAGAACGTCTTCTGAAAGACCACAAAAGAAAAGACCACAAAAGACAAGACCACAAAAGACAATCGACTCAACGTCTATTGGACATATGTAGTTCTGCCGAAACTGTTGCTGCAAACTTCACAACGACCTCTACTCTTGCAAGGAAGGCATCTCTATTCCTGATTTGAAACAAGAGATGCATATACTGCTGACTTAGCCTGAGGCCTATAAACAATCTGCATTTGCAGAAGGACGCAGAAAGGGCAATCATAGAGCTTGTTGATAAGCTTGTTTTCGAGACTTGCCTTCCTTGCATTCTTTTGTGACCAGACCCAGCAAAAAGTTCTGATAGAGGACAGCATTGGTCCATGAGTTTACACCAATGCTGTGCTCCATCCTTGGTAGACCACATGCTATGACTAAGTAAGGCCCAGCTGTACAACGATTGTTCAAATCAAGCTGCGTGCCGACGCTGCATAACTTAACACAAGCTCGTGCTAACCTCTTCCGAGAGCATCTTGACTTGACATCTTAGCTGGATACTGCCTCGATTTCAGGCCCTGAGAAACTCATATCAAAGAGCCAAAGAGCTCAGCTTCCTAAACTTCCTTGCTTCTGATGAATTCAAAAGACTGCCTTGAGCGTATCCATGCCTTCAAAGCAGAAAGCTCCTTACCTGAGCAATGCCACATCACCAGTGCAGCTGTGTCCAGTGCTGAGCGGGGCTGTAATCAGCTGTGCAGCTGTGTCCAGTGCTCAAGGCAGCTCAAGGTTCTGCCAAAAAGGCGCCATGGAAGATCAGTGAAGCTATGCAATGGCAAACTTGTGCTTAACTTGTAAGGCTCATCTAGGGGGCAGTATTATAGGTCAGATAGGTTACAGGCTGCAGCCCACCAAGGCTGGACTGGCTGGACTCGGGATGCAGTAGAACCCTAAAAGCATGATGCGGTAAAGGATGTTATGTATAGCTAATTAGCCTCGGTTGGGTTAAGTCGAAAACCATTCTCAAGCTTCTGCCCCACAGAACCGAAGGCTCGGGGCATCCGACCTGGATGGAAATTCTTCAATATTTCAGGAGTTGGACCGACAAGGAACTTCGCGTCGAAAAAACAGGGCCAGGCACAAGGTCCTCTCGCGGCACTGAAAAGCGACGGTAAATTGAGGTGACCGGTCCTACCGTGCGACGGAGCCTGGCATTCGCCGCGAAACCGTGCGATACCGGCGGTCCGCCAGCTGAAATGTCATAAACTACAGCAATGGGGCAATGGGGTGGACAATGTCAATGGAGCCAGGTCGGGATATCCACGCGAGAGAACCTAAAATTGCAGAACAGGCAGCCTCTTATCAAAGTGGCCGTTTCTTACATCTTGTGGTGATCAATATGAATTCTTTTGATACTGAGATGCCTCACATTGCGTCACATTTCAGAGTGCCATTGTGATGCATCTGATGTTCCTGTTGGTTCCCACAACATCTGTCTACTTACATTAGTGCGCCTGATCATGCCACAAGGCTTTTGGAAAGTTGATGTCACGATTCTAATCCAGTCTTAGGGAATTAGGCTCAAGCGGGGGCTCAAGTACCATTTGGGATAATCACCGTCTTTCCAAAAGCCCATCAAGCCGAAGGCGCCTGGTGGAAAAATGGAAGCAAGCAAGATGGAAAGTGGTGTGAGACGGTGGGCCGTAGATATTCGAGGGTGGGAGGCAACAGATGAGGAGTTTGCATATTGCCTCAGTCTGCTTCCTGAAGAAGAGACTCTGGCAGTCAACAGGTGAGCAGGCCGTGCCCAGAGTTGTGAAGCATGGTGCAACGATGGGGATTCTAAGAGGCTGAGGCGATAACCTGAAGTTGGATCTCAAGGTCATACAGGTCACAATGTTGACGAAATGATATTCGTGCTCTCAATGGAGAGTTTCTGCCTATCTGCTTTGCTAGGCATCAATTTGAAGCTTTCTTTCAGCTCATTGGGCTGGTTCTCTAAAAAAGTTTAGTAGGGGACGCCGCTGTCAGCTTCCAGAGTGAAGCAAGCCATTTTCAAAAAAGACAACAGCTCTTCGTCTGTTGAAGTTCCTTCTCAAGAGCGGCCCTGAACTTATTCAAATGCTCTTGAGCTGTATGCACCAGATAGCATGACGTCTTCTTCGCTGTTGAAAGTATAACACATATGACTGCTGCCCCACTGACTGTGTCTAATTGCCACCTCCTGCTGTCATATGCAGATATGTCCACCTTGCGGATCGCAAGCGCGCACTGATCAGTCGTCTTCTTCAGCGGAAACTTGCACATGAAGTCCTGGGCATCCCTCTGGATAGAATCCAGATTCAGCGGACCTGCGAAGGGAAGCCTTTCCTGGTATGGAGCCCCTAAATAGTTAGACAGCAGCCACTGGTGATTATCTTATTGTGAGACAACCTTTCTTATCAAAGACTGAAGAGCCCTCTGGATGTTCTGCAATGGAGAAGTGTCCATGAGATGATCTGGAAGTTCCCTCTTTATGCGCCAGGTGCATGCTGAATAATAACGTGGAAACCGAGGACACCCTTCTGTTGAGATTCTCTAACTTGTTTCACATAGATTTGCGCTGCGGGCGCTTTCCTGACACAAGTTCCTGACAAAGTTCCAGAAATCCGAAAGTGAGTCCTGTCTGTACAGAGGGTAAATCAAGCATGCGTGCTTCAGTTTGGGGAACTCAGAGTCAGCGTGCGAATGGACTTGGCCGGAAAAGACGTAGTGCTGGTCTAACTCTACTCTTACTCACAAACCCAGCCGTTTTCTGCGATTCTGCCCCCCCAAACCCCCCAGGCCCATCCTGTCTCCCTTCTGAAGCTAACACCCCCAATCCTTCTACAGTGCAGGCAAACCCCGGGGTGCAGTGCCCCTTCCCCTGCTTCAACTACAATGTCTCCCACCATGGCGCCTACGTCGTCCTGGCATCGGACCCCGCACGCCTAGTTGGCGTCGATGTCATGACGCACTCCCCCATGCGCCAGCCCGCACCCCCCGCAGTCGAGTTCTTCAAGAACTTTACGAAGTGTTACACGCCCTACGAGTGGGCAAACGTGATGAAGGGGGGCCCCACAGAGACAGGGCTGCTGGACCAGTTTTACAGGCAAGTGATTAAAATGCCGAGCGGTTTTCTGCTTGCATTTTGGCTTGCGACCTGCTGATCTTGGCTTCGGCCCCTGATTGCTTTTGGACCCGTGACAAAGCAGCCCATCATCGTTTGCTGTTTCAAGGTAGTAGGCAATTTTGTTCACCAGCCGACAGCGGCCTGACCCAAACCTCTATGGGCAAGTGATACCTTTTGTTCCCTGGTGTAGAAAGTGGCCGCAGAAACTTGAAAAAGCAACGGAATTGTTTGGGAACTGGGTCCTGACATGTGGCCTGCCCAGTACTTTTCTCACATGGAAACCTCCACAACGGCTTTCATAGCATTCCTCGGGGACCCCATTCGCCTCTGTTGCCATGCGCATCGTTTCGACTAATATTACGATGCTCCACTCCGGGTGCAGCTTGATTTGTCGTGTCGTATTCTCGTTGTCTCAACTCAAGGACATGGTCGGAAAGGCGGGCATCACCAGAGGCCTTACCTAAAAAGCACTCTTGAAGGCCAATTTCTTGAACTCCTTGCGTTGTTTTTGACAGTCGAAAACGTTTGAAGCAGGTACTGGTGCATGAAAGAGGCCTACATCAAAGCTGTGGGGATCGGTTTGGGCTTCGAGCTGCGGCGCGCTGAGTTTCATTACTTGCCCGAAAATGACATACTCAGCAGACGGGCAACGGTGTCTATCGACGGGGTTAGAAGACCGGAATGGATCTTCACGCTTGATCGGTTGGGGGAAGACCATTGGGTGAGGCCTCTCTTAGAAGCGTGGTCTTCATTCACAGAGTCTGAACAGCGAACACACATTGGGCGATTCGTGAGTGTGGATTCGTCGAGCAACTGTGGTGTCCACCGTCTGCTGGAAAGTTAAGTGCCTGGCTACTTGAAAGCAGCAGTCATTTCGTGAAGGTCGAAGTGCCGAGTCGGACGTTGCTTGACTTGATATTGTCACGTACATCAGTAATTTTGCAGACTTGTGCACCTTATTGACATTGTGGCCGCTGATGGCAATTGCAAGGGTATTGTCCATAGTATGGTTAGCCGCAGGGGCATTTCTTTGAAAACCGACCTTCGACTGCCTTGTTGTGCTTTAGCCATCAACGTCCCTCGTTTGATTACCTTCAGATCTGGAAGGGTGGTCGCTCTTTGTTCATTGATCAATGTCTTGTCTTTGCAGGTCTGTGTAGGAAGGGGACCGCCGGAAGAAGCAACCAGCAGTTGTTCTTTCCCAAGCAGCAGCAAGGCGGCACCAGTGGTCGCACAGCCAGGAGAGAGTGTTCTAGATATCGACTTTGAATTTTTAGCTGTTGAAGATCTGCTAATCAAAGATGAAAAGCTCTTCTGGCGGACTTCACGGACAATGTGAGGCCGTGATTGGTTGAATTCCGTGGGCCAATCAAGTCATTTCGAGAGTCGTGCTGCCTTGTGTAATTCACAACCATGAGCGATTTGCTGTGGTGTAAGGCCAATGTCTGTGCGGACTTGCATTGTTGGGGTTGACACGTATCTCGAATGAGTGACACAAATCCGTATTGCATATTACAATCGTAGGCACATCCGCATCTATCTTCGTCGAATCCTTTGCCTGTATGCGCATACTGCCATACGCGTGTACGTGCGTGCAGGAGATGCGCATAGATTGTGCTGGAAACCTGGCAGGCTGCATGACAGACTAGATCTCCCGGGGCCTGTCATGGCATGGCATGCTGTGACATGCACAACCAGCTGTATATACGTGTATACAGACTTCAATAATGGCCATGTGGATCCACATCCGGATGTGGGTCCAAATCCGGATGCATAAGGACCTCGTCCAGCATGTGTGCAGATCGCCTAGCTGCACATAGGCTTCGAGCGTGAATTCATGACCAGCATAGCGGCGTAAATCACAGACTAAGGATCATGCAAGCGCTTGATCTCCTGGCAACATGCTCCGCGGCTCAAGATGCGCTAGGTGCACAACAAAGCCTCACACATGTTCTGCATTCCACCATGAACTACGTTGGACATGCACCAGTCGCTCCAAACAAATCATCTGTATAGAAAGAAAATTGATCGGCGTCATAATCTGCAGAGAGACCGACTGCGGTTTCCACATTCCAAAGAAAGCCCTTAGAAAGAATCAAGTCAAAGACGGTCCTAATGTACAAAAAGTGGATTCAAGATGCTCTTGCTAACAGGCTATGCAGGACTTCTCTACAATCAGGCTACCTACCGATTCCCTCGCAGGTGTTCAAAACAATTTATTCTTTCTGCTTATGATTATGCTACAACTGCGTAGGTCCATCTCGAGAGGAAGTCGTTTGCATGCTCCCAGCCAAAGAGGAATCCTCATGACCCCTATACAGTGTCGTCGGGAGCGTCTGGTGCTCCATTTACAATGTTGTACTTGCAAAGCGGACAGGTAGCATTTATCTTGAGCCACTTGTCGATGCAAGGGGAATGGAAATGATGAGTGCATGGCAGCTCCCTAAGCTCAGCACCATCTTCGTATGGAGAAAGGCATATGCAACACTCCTGCAGGCACAGTAAGAAGCAATCAGACACTTGACCCAAGGTTTCAAAAGCTCGAACCTTTGCGGTGCCTCATGGCATGTTTGGAGATGGGCTTGAGATGGTAAAACAGAAGAACCTCAACTCCTGCCAACAGTGTACAGCTGGGCTTGTCAAGCAATCTCAAAGCAGAAGTTTGGGCATTGGCATTTGATACCTGGCTGCACTACCTGCCTGAGTGCCCTCTTTGACAGCTCAAAACAAGGCACAAATACGAGCAGATACACACAGATACTTTCAGAACCAAGGACATGAACAGCGTTAAGAGAATTTGGGTAGACATGACACTAATTCAAAACGAGTACAGCACTTTTACAATGCTGGACACCTTTCAATGTATAAATCCCTCACCGCATTGTCGGCAGACACTTTGCGCTCTTCCCCTCCGTTCTGCGGGGTCAGCACTCCCCCCTCACTCGCCCCTTCCTTGTCCCCTCCGAACACGCGGAACTTGAACAGAGGAAGGGCTCGGATATCGTCTTCCGAGGCCCCCTCCTGGTCCGCCACAGCATACAGGATGGCAATGATGCACGGCAGACAGCAGCAGACGGCAATGCCGATCACACAGGCCAGCGCGACGCAGAAGACCACAAAGAAGACGTCGAAGGCGAGGAACACGACGGAGAGCCTGCAGAACGGGATAGATCTTTTCATATCTTGAGTCTATCTTCAGACTTGCCTGAGCAATCCCCAAGGCAGAGTGTAAGCAAGCAAGAGACATGCAAGGAAGTCAGCCTGATGAGTTGCTTGGACAGACAGTCTTTTCCAATTAACGCCCACAGTGCCCTAATTGTTTGCAAAGTAGCCAGCTGCGCCCGATGACTCTGTGCCCAGCGTGTTTGAGTGGATTATTTCCATTTTTATACTCGAAAAATGTTGGCAACAACTGGAAAAAACATGTTTTGTAAGTAAACCAAAACCCTAAATGCACAGCTGGTTTACAAGAAAGGCAGGCACTCCCAGAAGCAGCTCGGTACATCATTGGTCAAAAGAGAACAGAACCCTGCTTGCTGCTATGCATTAGTATTGCAAACAACCTCTGGGCGGATTCATTGCAGGATTGTCCGGCCCTTACCAGTAAAGGCAAGGAGCATTGTGTGCAAGCTTTTGGCCGCCTGCAGTAATCCAGTAGAACCCAACAATCCACCATGCAAAAGAGAACATTGTGTTGGCAGACTCCAGTCGCTTTGCGAGGCTGCACAACAGAAGCAACAATGTGAGGAACAGGAACCCCGAGCAGAAGCTTACAAAAGTTTAAGAGATGCCTGCATTCCATGTGAGCTGCCAATCCAGGAGAAGCTGCATTATGTACCAAATTCGTTGGGAGTCTGTGTAAGGCACACTAGCAGCCTCCATGCTTGTAAACCTCCTGATCCGAGTTCATCGACCTCCTCGTTCTGGTAAGAAATAAACGTCCTAAATCCAAATGCTTCGATCCATCAGCCTCCTCTTTGAGCAGCAACACTAAACCCCCAACTTGCAAAATGCAATGGGTATGCTAGCCCTTCTGGCCACAATAGCGGGTTGACAAATAATGTAGCACAAAGGGTATCAATGACCGTTCTTTGACTCAATCCCAAGCAAGTTCCTTGACCAATGCCAGTCAGGTGCCAACCCTTACCTTGCAGGTTCTATTGGCTCGCCCCCTTCTGTCTCTGTTCTGACAGCAACCCGTCTTGAATCAAAACCTGTTGTTGTGACTACCGTGCCAGACGCTGTCCTCCTTGCCCCTGCTCTCCGCCGCCTCCTCTTAAATTCAGCAAACACACAGACCATGTGCACGAGGCACTGTGCTGCGTACCCGGCTATCCACAACCGCAGGTTGCTCTTTGGCTTTTCATCCTTGCTCAGAAACAAGATAACAGCAGCTACTATTACGAAGGCGAGGTTCCACACCAGATCAAGGACGACTACCGGCCGTGAGTATGCCCAATCAGACTGCCTCTCCTCCAGTTGCTCAGCTGCCGATTCCCTAACTTGGAGTGACTGCTCTCTCATCAACCGGCTGCTGCCTGCTCGCCTGAAATACGAAGCTGCCTGGATGGTTCTCCTGGGGCTTGTCCGGTTTGGAGGATTGGTTTGAGGAGCTCCTTGACTAGACGAGGTCCCTAGCAGAGGGGAGTTGGTATCTGGAGCGGACCCTGGCCCACTCCTCACATCCATGGTTGCTGGTTCCTATTGCTACACTCGTGGTTCCTATTGCTACACTCGCACAGGGTAACCCTACGACCTCGGTAGATTATGCTTTATGAAGATGCGCTCAAGAAGGCATCCGCCACTGGTCATGCAACTATCCTGCAAGACCAGCTCGCAAACTATCAGACAAACTCAAAGCAAAACTCTGCAGCGATGGAAGCAGCATCGAATCCAACCAACCCACAGCCAGAGCAGATCAATAGAATCAAACAAGATTCCAGAGTGCTGCCAAAGACTGGACAGCATGTCAACAGAATCCCTCTCAATGTCTGCGCTTTTTATATCGACAAGGAACAGCCTGACACAATCGCGGCCACGTAAACAGACAGAATAATCAGGATCAAACCCATTAGCGCAAGGTGGGCAGACTGGCCATGCACGAAGCAATCTGCCCCAAAGCGAGACAGAATCAATCACAACCAAACCTGAACCCCTGCTCGCTGAGGGCCACTCATGTTGACAAAGAAATGAATAAGTCAAAGGGGCCGGAAGGGACGTGCAAACTCATACCTGTCAAGCCCAAGAGGCTTCATCTTCAAGCTCGGGAAACAACGAGTCCCCAACATCTTCCCTGAGAAGCACGCAGCGCAAAAATGGCTTTCCCCCTTCTTGCTTGCACTGCATGCCACGGCAGCCTATGTCCGTTGACGTGAGCAGTCCCCCACCGGCGCAACCGCCATGCTGTATGATGAGCTCCCTTCTTTTCTGTTTTGCCGGTAGCTGCGACGCCTGAGTTTCTCTGAGTCTAGCTGTGACTGTCCTTGCTGGATTGAATCCTGAAATGTGAAACTCTCAACTTGAATTCCAAGAACTTCAACTTAGCGGAACTTCGGACCGTCAACAGGTTGAGCGACAGATTTTATACGGCTTCGATGTTTTCCACGTGGCATAAAGACGCACACGCAAGCTGCGGCGCGGGAGGTCCTCAGCGAGAAAGTTTGGACCATTAAACTTCTCGCCTTCCTAGATCACAGCTCGTTGGCAGCTGGTTGCAGCTCTGCATGCATCCTGCTCCTTCCTGCAGCAGTTTGCTGCTATGACAGCGTCGCGTATTCTTGCTCAGCGGAAAGCGCATGCCAATGGTGGCTGTGAATGGCGTCTCCAGTTCTTGCCGTGCTGACTCCAGCTCAGATCTTGTCAGGCAGCTCAGCAGGTGCTCAACCAGAGGACCTAAGTGCAGTGGCTTTCTGTGGATGCATTGAGCTGCACGAGGGAAGCCAAGTTTTAGGAAGGGAGCTCTTCGGCACACACAAGGTGCCTCATGTGAGCCGGCGGCATTTGCAGCTAGACGTGCGGCTACGGGAGATAGAGGTGACTGTGGTAAGTAACCTGAAGCATGAGCATTCTGAGTGGCGGAGTCATTTGCCATCTACGTCCTCAAATCCTTGAAGCCCATGCTCGCGGAAAGTAAAGTTAGCATGCAATTTGGAGAAATCCAGTGCTTCAATCTCAGCAGACTCGCTTGATGTGGCCGATAATTTGCTCTCAATGAAAACATTACGTTGTTCATAGGTGGGCCAGAACCCCGCTGCCATCACCAACCTCGGGTTCCCCACCATACGCCTCCAACCTGGAGAGAGCGCACTTCTAAGAGACCGAGGCATGCTGGAATTTCTGCCTGGGCGGCTCCAGTATGAAGTAAACCTTCAGGGGGCAAGTTGTCACCCTATTGCACGAAATTTAGATGTAGAAAGGGTTGGACTGCCGGAGATCTTTGAGAGGCAAGTGGCCCATAGTGTCAAGGGGAGACGGCAGGAAGGAACTGATAGTGATGCCCAACTGAGTGGCGTTCTAGCCTTACGTGAGAATCAGCAGACACCACCGCTCATCGGCCAAACCTCTGTGCCAAGAATGCCATTGGATAACCAGTCCCCCCTCAACTCGAGGAGCGTACCTTTGTTGGTCGAAATTGGCGGCGCGGGTAGCTCTGCCGTGCTACAAGCGGAACACCCGTTGCTGGGTGAAGTCCAGGTTGACGCTCAAGATGACGACTGCCATCGTGGGGGGCAACCTAGCAGCCACCAAGACCAGCTAGCTCAGGACGAAGACCTGGCCCGCAAATTGCAGAAGGAGGAGGGGGCCCATGGTGGGGCCCATTCACACCACAGCAAAGAGCAGCTTGCTTCAGACGAGGCTCTCGCACGCATGCTTCAGGAGCAGGAGGGAGGGGCGGGGGACGAGGGAAGGGTGGAAGGGCCAGATAGAAAGCGGCGGAGGAGAGGCGAGACAGAGGGGGCAGCAGGAGAAGCGGCGACGTCTGGCAGGTCGCCAGAGGAGGGGGGGGCTCACGGGAGTGATGGCCCAGGGGCGTTTCAGTTGCTTCAGGTAGGGTCCAACTCAGCTCGAGCAAATGGAAGTCCTTTCGAATGGGCTGGAATCAGCATGCTTTTTAGCTTTACTTGGAAGTAGACTTTTGACGATCGGGAAAGTAGTCGAGATTTAATCTAGAGCCTTTTGGCTTTACTTGGGAGTGGACTGGAGATTGCCTGGATGTTGATTGAAGGTTGAAGATTTGAAAATGGCAAAGTAATCATTTCAGAGCTCCAAACTTTCTCTTTCTAGGCTTCGAAAGGGGCACTGTCCATCACCTCCTACATCTCTTGCGTCTCCGCTCCATGTCCAGGTGCACGCCCTCCCGCCTTGGGCGAAGCGCGGCTGCTGCCGCATCAGTGACGTCATCCGGGGCGACGTCCAGTGGTGCATTCTGACGAACTACATGATCGACATCGAATGGCTGCTGTCAGCGTGTCCCATTCTGTACCACGTCCCCCGGGTTATTCTGATGCACGGGGAGTCGGGGGCATCGCTGGAGAGGCTGCAGGTGAGGGCTGTCTGCATATGACTGTTCCGAAAGTTCTTCATCATATGGAAGCCCCAAAGATTATGTCCATTGTCAGGAAGTCCCTGGTCTTCCATGATTATAGATAGGTTCTGGACTTCACCATAGGGGAAGCTTAGTGAGCCGAAGCTTGCAGAGTTGTGTGGATTCCAGTATCGAAGGTTATGATTGGTCAAAGCCTTTGCAGTACTCGGCTGCAGAGGGCTTCATCTGAGGAAGCAGTAGGGACATACCTTGGCGAAAGGCAGAACGGCCTCCTTTGCCGTCTCGTTTGCGGCTGTATTTGATGGACGAGCAAGGGCTTCACTCGCCCTCCTGAGAGCTACTGTTGCTTCCAGCTGGCTCGGCCGACGTCTGTGTGCCTTTCCACGCTTTGCAGGGTACATAGCTTGTCCAGTTCTTTCCTTCTTCCAAGCAGGCCCTTGACTGCCGCTCAAAAGACTGAAACCCCTTTTCCTCACGCGAAAACTTTATTAGACCCTTCCTTATCACAGACGGAGTCGAAGTGTGTCTCCCATCACGATTTTGCATACTCCTGAGAGCTTCTTGTGACTTCTTGATACCAACCACAGCAGATGCTCTGCGCAGAAGAATGTTTCCTGTCATATCCTTTCATACTCCTGAGAGCTTAGTGTGACTTTTTATGCCAACCACAGCAGACGCTCTGTGGTGCAGTCCACAAAGCCGGCCAACTTCTCCCTGCATAAGCCGCCGCTGCCCATCTCGTATGGCACGCACCACAGCAAGGCCATGGTCGTGGTGTACCGGGGCGGCGTCCGAGTGGTGGTACATACCGCGAACCTCATCTACATTGACTGGAACAACAAGACGCAGGGCCTCTGGTACCAGGCAAGCGCCCCATTCTCACCCATTTCTGTCACATTGTTTGGTGGTAAATGAAGGGCCGATCATGGAAGCGTCCCTTTGATTAGCAGGACGAGGCAAGCAGTGCGAATGTCGGACGTTATCCAGAAGTGAAGCGAAACAAATCGTATGCTCATGGTCAAGAAGGATCGACAAGAAGGATCTTGCAATCTTGCAGGAGAAAAAAGGCAGCCCATACCGCTTGATCGCTGCTAAAACTTCTCGTAATCATTCTTTCCCCGCTAAGCGGGGCTGGCCGTCCTTTTCGGTGTATCTATTGATCTCCCGCACCATCTTCCGGAATTTTCGCTGTCTCTACGTTGAGTCCGTCCTTACCAACCGCCAGCTTTGTTAGGCCAAAAATTGTGGAGCAGTCAGTAAAAGCCGATATTATTGGATAAGGAAACAATACTTCACTCTGGCCCGTACAAAATGAGATTGACTGGGTCGCGCTACAAGCCAAGTGCTCTATGTGGGCAAATCAAACTTTTCTTTTGATGACACTGAACACTTTCTCGTCTCCTTTCCGCACAGGACTTCCCCCTAAAGACCCCCGACAGCCCGCCGTCCTCCCCCTTCGAGCGCGACCTCTTGGACTACCTAGAAGCCCTCCGGTGGCCCGGCGCGCTTGTCCCCTCCCCAGACGGCACCGACGAGGCGACACGTGTCAACGCCTCCTTCTTCCGGCGGTTCGACTTCTCGCGCGCGGCGGTCCGGCTGGTGGGGTCAGTGCCTGGGTACCATGGCGGGGCGGCGCTGCGCAAGTGGGGGCACATGAAGATGCGCGCGGTGCTCGAGGAGGAGGCGTTTGGGGACGACTTCAGGAGGGCGCCGCTCGTGTATCAGGTGAGGCGCCCGCTGGGGCGTTCTTTTGGGTAAAAGGTTTGCGAGTTTGCTGACTGTGATATTTCATTTTTCATCTTTCGGTTGGTAGACAGCACGTCCAACGAGTGAGCTTTTTGGGAAAAAAAGTTCATTGCATGTTCCTTCATTTGGGCAGTGGCTCGCGAAGATTGCTCTTGGGATTGACCGTGTATTCTCCGTTGCAAGCCAGGTTGTGTGGTTCGGTCTACCTATTACAACACGAAGACTTCTAAGTATTTGATGGGAAGTCGAAGATGCTGCTGGCAAAGTAACGCATTGGGTCCCATCATGAATCTGGTTCCAATTTTCAACGCGAGTGTAGGGCTGGAGTTGACTTCTTTGTGGCTCCTTTTCCGACTCGTCAAGCTTTTACCTTCTGGTCCGATCCTCGAAATCAAGCCGTCTTGCCTCTACTCAAAAGCTTCATTGGAATCCTTGATGGAAACCCAGAGATGTGTTTTGCAAATTAGTGTGTCCCAGCAATCTGTCGCAACCATTGAGCATTTCCAAGCCAACGCCGGTGCATTTGGCCTTGGTCGAGTCTTGTCGATGCAACTCGTCTGGAAACGGCCAATCCCTGTGAAGCAGCTTTCTCGCGCCTTCCTGCCGTGGAATTTCTTGCTCCATCAGATAGTATTTTCAATTGGGTATTGCCGAAAGCGAGACACGGGACAAGCGCACTCTTTCCGACCGACCCCGGACAGCTCACCCCGCTGAGCTTTACTTCGTCCTCCTCTCTCACTTCGCCCTCCTGAAATCTCCCCTCTCTTCTTCCAACCCCCTCCTGGTTCTCGCCCGCCGAGATCCCTCCACGAGCGCTGGAAGGCCGGAATGGCGTTCCTGCCTGAGCCAGGATCGGACGCTTTTCGGACCGCGCTGATGCCTTTTCCCTCCCCTCCTCTACTTTCTCATCGCTGGGCTCCCTGGACGAGCTGTGAACTTCCAAAGCATTGTCCAGCCTGAGCCACATCCGGACGGCTTTCGGACACTTGCTGATTTTTGCCCCATTTCTCCCTTTCCTAGTTCTCGTCGCTGGGCTCCCTGGACGAGCGCTGGATGTCCGAATTCTTGGCTAGCCTGAGCAAGGGCCGGACGGCTTCCGGACCGCCGCTTGGTCTGGGAGAGGTGCGCGTCGTGTGGCCGACAGTAGAGGACGTGCGGCAGTCCATAGAGGGCTACTGCGCGGGGGGCGCAATCCCTGGGCCTGAGAAAAATGTGGCGCGGCCATGGCTGCAGCGATACTGGTCCAAGTTTCAGGTAAGCAGAAAATGATCAGTGCATTTTTTGATGATGAGTTCCATAGTTCGACTGTTGCCGTATACGAGCATAGTGAAAAAATGATGAAGACGATATATCAGCGGTCGGCGCTTCGACTCTGTTGACTTCGAAGATAGAAAGAAGAGCGTACTTGTTTCAGTACCTCGGCTTTTCAGTCGAGCGGTCGTCACGTACGCTTCTCTGAAGGTGCAGGTAAACTTGAAGCTCTTTCTGATCCTCAACTCACGATCATCCGAAGGGTTCGCCAAGTGGTTTGTGATCTGTCCCGTAAGTATGAGCCATCAAGCCTCTCGCAAAGTTCAAACTGCTATTCAAGTCGCATCAAGGGAACGTTGCTCCCGTCAACGCTGGGGGGAGAGAGAAGCCTTTGGCTGTCCGCTTAGATTTACCGTCATCATTCTTCTCAGGTTCGGGACATCATGGTTTCACACAACAAATAGGTTCAGATTCTTGCAACGCTTTGCGGAGCGGGCCGCCTGGCGGTGAATGCCGGGCACAGATCTGCAGCCGTCCCAAGGCTACATTGGGTACATCGAACGGCTTGTTTTTGCAGCCGTCCAGATCCAAATTGCGACACGGACCTGCTCAAGAACGTCCAGCTTACAAATATCCTCTCATGTCTTTCCTGCAGGCGGACCACGCGGGGCGCGGACGCGTGATGCCGCACATCAAGACGTTCGTGCGGCACCGCGGGAACGACGTCGCGTGGTGCCTGCTCACGAGCGCCAACCTGAGCAAGGCGGCCTGGGGGTCGCTGCAGAGAAACGATACCCAGCTCATGGTGCGGTCGTACGAGCTGGGGGTACTGTTTGTGCCGTCGCTGGTTGCGCGCTACGGCCTCGGGGAGCAGTTCTCGTGTACGGACAACGCAGCCGGGGGGGCGGGGCAGAATCTTAGAATTCTAACGCCAGGGGGTAACCGCAAAACCTCTGGCGGGGTTGCTCAGAAAGCGAGGGTAGAGGAAGTAAAGGAGGGCGGTGAAGTGGGTGCCTGCGAAGGAGAAAGCATTTTTGAGGCTGGCAGTCCGGGCGGGTTTGAAAAGGGGGGTCCGACAAGTGGAAAGAGAAAACGTACCGGGGAGAGATCCGGGGGCGAAGGATCGGAGACGAGGACCCGGGAAGAAGCAGCGGGAGAGAAAGGCAGGGCAGAAGGACCAGGGGGAAGGACCGGGGGTGACGCACAAGGGCAGAGAACGGTACGCTTCGTTAGCACTGCCGAGCGGCCGGGCCCGCACGATTCGCAGCTGCCGAACAGCGAGCCGTCCGATGGAACGCCGGTGATCGTCCGGCTGCCGATCCCGTACGCACTGCCGCCAGCAAAGTACGGCCCCAAAGGTGAGGCTCTGAGTCAACATTAATAAACCGCTCTCCCCTGATTAACCTCTTCTTGGACCGTGAATACTCCAGTGAGGCTCTTGGCCTGCTGCTACAACGTGCGAGAAGGCTTGGCAACGCAAAGACTTGCTGCGGTTTTTGGGAGAGGCCGGAAAAAGGGGGAGACAGGACGATAAGCACAAACGCGGAGAAGGACGGAGATGCACACGTGAAACCACCTTAACCTCTGGCGCAAAGAGTTCCTTTCAGATTGCAAATTCTCATTGTGGGTTATATCTCGGCTATCTGACCCCAAGTCGTCCACTGCAGACCGCCCTTGGGCCGTGGACAGGCAGTACGTCCAACCCGACGTGTACGGAGAAACTTGGCCTCGGACGGTGGTCAAATACGGAGTGAAGCAGGCAGACGAGGGGGAATGAGAGAAACTGAGCTTACTCGGGGACTGGTTCCATACCGGAAAAAGTGAGGTTTGACGTATTATGCCGTCCGTGGCCGGTGAGTAAGCCCCCAACGCCAATCAACAGAAGTAATTCAAATCCGGCGTCAGTTTCACAGTCCTCGGTTGGCCCAGGTTTTCACTCGCAAAGATTTACATCGTCTGTGGTTGCACTCCTGCGAGTTTCAATCATGATTGAGTCAAACGATTTAACCGTACTGTTCCACCGTGTTGTTGAGACCGCAGCATGCTCAGGCAAGCAGCAGAAGACCTACCGAATTCTCATTCGTTGCCAAACCTTTTATATCATGCTATTGGTGAAGCGCTCATGCTAAGGAAGGCCTATGTAGCGTGCATGCTCATGTCCCGGCCGACAACTTGCATAGTATGCATACATATCATGATATGTGCGCGGGATCCGAGTTTGCAAACGTGCGGCGCCGACCGACCCCACCTAGCATGCCAGGACCTGATTTGGAAACAGGAGATCGGACAACCATATATAAAATCTGCATGTGAGTTCGTCTCGAAGGACACAGCAGGATCTGCCTTAGTATGATGCAGACGATTACCGCACCCGACAAGAAGTTGCACATTTGTACAAAGCTGGCCGCCTCGGTCGATGCAGTGCCAATGAAGATGATAGATGCCGGTCGCAAGCATGCTGCTGATCTATAAGCAGGCCAGCTGGCGACCAGCGGAAAAACGTTTTTGCAAACAAGTTACTGATTTAATGGTGTTTCGCGCCACGGTGCAAGAACTCCATTCAACGATCCGCCTTGCAGCTATGCACGTTATACATGAAAGCATGTCTGCATGACGTGCAAAACTTTTTTGTAAGAATGTACAGGGTTCTCTTATGAGCTACACCAGACATAATATGTATAACCGGACTTGCACTCGTGTTAAGCGCGACTCCATTCACTAATACCTTCATCACGACGAGCAGATTGGCCAGCGTTCAAGATGTTAGATCGTCACGATTGTCTGGAGTACTGCAGGTTTTGCTGAACCTGCTTTTCCGCCGATCTGAGATTATTCACACTCCACGAGTTGAATTTAAGCCCTCCCCCAGCAAGTCACCGAGCATGTTGCGGATGAGGGCTCGATTGTCTCGTAGTTTCTTTGCTTTCATCGCAAGCTTTCTTTGATCCCAGATCGCTCCCCTTAATTCTGATTGATCCGGGAACTTATCGGATCCCGCTTTTGTCCACTCAAGGTCAGTTTGTCCATCTCGCTCTTCCGGCGAGATGGGCAGATTGTACCTGCGTTAAGGGTAGTTGGGCGTGGTTTGAGACAAGTATGAGTTCTGGATCACGAAATCTCCAAGATCTAAGCTCCACAATACCGGGATCTTTCTGTGGAGTTGTAACCACAGTCAAGGTCGAAACGCAGAAGATCCCCTCTCAACCGTGCCTAAAGCCTTCGCGCCTTTCGACACAAACGGCAGCCGGAAGTAAGGGGCGTTACTAGACCCATAAACCTTTCGAACTTATCCAGCAAACAGATTAAAGGGTTCGACCTTCACTTACCATCCTTGCTTTTACAGAGTGAGAGACGTGACGGACTCACCTTTGCACGCTGTCCCGCAGATGCGCCTCCTCGTCTTCTGTCACTTCCTCCATCAGCAAGTACGCACGGGCCGGATCGAGGCACAGCTTCACCAGCTCCTGACACCGCTTACAGCTGCAAACGCACGTGACGGGCATCGCCCAGTTACGCGGCTCGCGAGGTTTCACGCAGACCTCTTCCCGCAGCTCGGCCAGGCAGCCCAGGCAGAGTTTCACAAACCAGGGCGCGTCCTTTGCGCGCTCGGCCCCTAACCACTCAAAGAGCGGCTCGATTGCTGGAAGCATTGTTTTGCCCATGTCGTGAAGCCGGGGCTTGGCGAGCAGGTGAGCGACTACCGACTCCATAGTTTCTGGGGGGACTTCGAGACAGTAGAGCGACTCAAGCAACTGGCAGGCCCACTCGGGGCTCCGCGCTGGGCTTGGATCATACTCCGATCGCGTTGGGGCGTCCTCTTCTACGAGAAGCGTGGTGACTACCGCGTCCTTTAGTAATTCGCAGAAACCCTGGGCGGCAGGCAAGAGGTCGCCATCCGTGCGTCCGGGCGGGCGTCCGATCGCTTTCTCGACCGCAATCCGGAAAAGCAGCTCCGTGGCCGAAGTTGTCGAAATCCTGGCCAAGTTCTTCGTCATTTTCAGTGTCAGCGGCGCCCACTGATCGGGTCCGTAGCGCGCGAGTAAGCTCCGGTGGCGGTCATGTCGTCGACGCCGATTTTGAGAGATCGTAACCGTAGTCCGACACTTCACCAGCGAAGCGCTGCCAGAGAATGCGCCAAGTCAACCAATTGACGGCGGCCGCGCACACATCGACATGCTCCCAGTCGCTTGCTTCCGCAGCCAATCCGTCCTCGCGCTCTTCGCCCCCGGTCGAAGACTTTGGGCCGAGTCCCGCGGCCGTGCCGTATTTCGTTGCTAGAGGGGGCTCTTCTTGAGCGGCCCCTTCGCGGTTCGCAAGGGGCGGTGCTATGTCTAGCATGAGCCAGAAGCTGCGTGCCAGGTTGGAAGGGTGGAAGGAACGTTGAAGCGCGGCTAGAAGCGGCGTGTGGAGGCCCCCCCAGCCGAAGTGGGCCCCGAGCGGAGCCACCACGGGCTCGCCAGGCGCGTGTGGGCCGCCATAGTTTGAGACAAACGCCTGGAAGCAGCAGGGGGAACGAGAATGAACGGTCGCTGACCTTCTCGTAGGTACAGCAGATGTTGCGGACTCGGAAGGTGACCAAAGCCTATTTCCATCTCCCAGATCAAGAAGCGTGGTTTTGCCATGAGGAACTTGTGACTGGGAATTTGCATCGTTGAATGGACGATGGGAAGGCCCGAAAAGTTACGAAGAAGGAGCAATGCGATCTTCACAAAAGCTAGGCCCCTGACGGGTTGGAACGCAGATCCAGTACAGTATCTGCTCCGACGTGTGTTGGTTAAGAATACTAATGCTCAGGATTTGCATTCTTTTTGTGTCTTCTCAATTTGGCTTTCTTGAAACACTCAAGGCAGCACCCCTACACGAAAGTCGCAATCGTCATTTCTCACCAGAATTGGATGCTTACCTCTGCATGGTCCTGGGTACCGTGTTGGATGATGAGTTCGGCCAGCTTTCTGGCACAATCTTCGGAAAGCAACTCCGAGTGTGGGCACAGCGCCTTGAGCGCCCGCGATATTTCGTCTTCGAGGGACACGTGGCCGTGCTTGAGAACGACGACTGTGCTCGCCTCTCGGGGCGAAAGGGTGCCCGAGCGCATCCCTACGGGCTCGAACGTGCCGGGCCGAGCTCTCAACCTGTCGGAGATTGAGCACGCCTCCTGGGAGAAACCGGAAACGGAAGACAGGTGAAGCAAAGCACCCTTCTTTCATCCTTGTCGATCAGTTGCAAGTCCTTAAAGTACGGTACCATTCACGAGCATGTTTTCTGATGCGCTTTAGAAGGATATGCACAGATACGATGAATAGGATACGAAGTTGCCAAATCCAATTTGAATTTGCTTCGGCGAAAGTTTGTTGCTCCTTACCATAACGGCCGTGTCTGCATTGTCGGCGCTGATCACCTCCCAGTGATCCCTGTGTAGCCAGAGGATGACTGCTGCCTGGTGGTACCAGCGGTCCTGTTTCACGCCCTGGTTCCCGGTGTCCTCCCCTGCTTGCACCTTGTCCCAGCCCCGGTGGTCGAGGGCGTCGTTTGGAACGAGCTCTGAGGGAATCGAAGCAGGATAAGTTTCCGGGTGAACGCGTCTACTCTGCAGGTAGTGTTTGAATAGAAGCTTCATCCGCTGAAATTGCAGGAGAAAGAATGCTGCGATCTTCGCGTTACAGCAGACTCTTTATATGATCTGCCCAATGAAAATGCAGCCTTGAGTATTCGTATCACCTCAAACCATCTCTCTTGCGGAACTTCAGTCATCTTCTCGGACACCAATGATTTTGAAATATCAATTCTCCTTATGTGGCTATAGAGACGAGCTAGCATTTCAATGATCAGAATACAAATACAGTCCTATCCCAAGTAGATTTGGTTCAACACGCTCACCTCTCCGACTGAAGTTGAGCATGTCATATTTGTGCTTTTCCTTGTCGACAGCCACCAGATCGCGCAACTTCGAATAAGTACTTTCTATCCTGTCATAAGGTTTGTATTCTGAGTTTTCCCATCCCCTTTCGTATTCCCAACCCTCCTCATACTTCTCCAGCGTCCCTAAGTTACAATGGAACGGGGGTGCACCCGGGGCCTGAACCACAAGAGCAGACGCCGCTTTTGAACAGGTCAACGTTCGTGGTACTGAATCTTACTTGCAAAAAGTTTTCTTGTGAAAAGCCTGGCGTAGTGGAATGCCGCGGACATATCGAACTGACCAAGACAACCAGCAGATACTAAGGACATGGTCAAGAGTGGCCAACTATGTACTATTCCAAATGGGAAAGCCTCTTCTGATTGGATTCAAGCGCAAGGCGCCCCCACCATCCAAATTTTCAGGGCCACTGCTTTCAGTCTGACAAAAAGCCAAGGAGCAAAGTCGTCCTCACCTTGGCTGCCTGTAGGAGGACGTCAATGGTGGCCATGTCCGTTCCCCGGAGGCTGTCGAAGGTCAGGCTCTTGCTCGAGTACTGGTGCGCCAAGGGGATGACCAGCTTCTGGGGACCGCTCTTATCTCTGCTCCAAGTCTTTATGGCCTTCACAACCTGCTCTGCGGCTTCAGTGTTGTCAGCAGGCAATGGAACGCGCGTAGATCCCTGCAACGATCCACACTCTCATCACGAAGGGCATCGAGCAAGTTGGAACAGGACGATTGAACGGACCCAAACGATAGCTTTATGTGCTTCCCTGCCTTGCAACTCTGGTTCGGGTTCTCAGCAAGTCAAGGAAACCTAACCAGGACATCCAAAACAACGACTTCGTAAGGGGTCAACTCGCTTTCAAGCCCTGACAGGGTTTCTTGAAAGTCAAATGAACATGCAAGGAGTCAGTCAGATGCGTGCCAATCTGTCTCAGATTGCTAGCACATTTGTTGAGCAACGACATGATGTTTTATGAAGCAAGCAACCTAAGAACGACAATAAGCTACTTGGATGCCCATACCTGAGCAATCAGGTTATAGATAAGAGCCAGGCGGTACCCTGAGCGAACTGGACGCAGCTCGTGCTGACAGTCGGCAAAGAAGGCGGCGTAGTGCAGACGATACAGGTCCATGCTGCCGAAATCGATGACAATCTTCTGGTTGGCGTGGCGAACGACGAGCTCTCCTAAAAGCAGACTTCGAAGGAGTCTAAGGCAAGTAGTGTGGAGCAAAAATAAAGTCCAGAATTTCCCTTCAACAACACAGCAGTGTTCCTGACACCGGTCTATTAGATGTATAAGAGCAGACAGAATGTTTTGTTGCACGTACAGTCAAAGCAAGTTGCAACATGGGAATCAGGCGAAGATCGAGAAAACACGTGATAAAGAACCTTGACCTCAGTCTGCTCACCTCCAGAATGTGCAGAGGGTAGGGCAACCATGGTCCCAAACATGCCTTCCTCTTTCTCAGTGTCGCGATGAGTCGTGAAGAAGCCCCCAGCCTCATATAAGAGGCACTTGTAGAGGCTTGGGACTACTTTGAGAGTGTCTGGAAGGCGGAGGTCCCGCTTGACTCTCTCGTCTGTCAGCTGACGAACCTGAGAGTCCCAGTCCGGGCCTGCCAGCCTAAACTCTTGCGGAGACAGCTGCCGGCATTTGCGGACACTGTCGTCGTAAATGGTCGCTTCCCTGATAGACGAACCAGGGAGAAAACGCCTTAGTATCGAGGCTGCTTGTTGATTCTGCATCCTTCCATCTTGAGGCTATCTGTTGATAAAATGGTGATCCTGGTCCAATGCTTCTTCAAGGAGCAATAAGAAGAAACAACCGAAACAAAAAAGTTGTCTCGGGAAGCAATTGTAGGATTTTCAGATACCTGAGAGAAGCAGTTTGAAGGGTCATTGGATTGCATGTTGGATTGGCAGACAATCGTAAATCTTCTAGAGCATCGGTTGTGGCTACGAGCATGAACATAAAGCTTTGAAAGAATGATATTTGAGAAATAAAAAAGAGGATGAAACCCAGCGCACTTAGCTCTGCACCCTCACCTGCGACCGAAAGGTGCTGGGGGAGATACTTGAGCTAGCTGCTGTGCTTGGTAGGGGAGAAGCGGCAAGCTTATTGGGCCAAGAGCAGGGACCTCCAGTCCTGGAAGGCTAAAGAACTTGAGCGTGTGGATCACACAGAAGCTCCAGATTGCTTCACATTCTTGAGAGCAGTATGCAAGTCTGTATGATATGGGGCCCCAGAGAGCCTCTTCATCTTCAAATATCTGGTACTTCTGCGCTTAACTGCAGCAATGAATCTATTCATTTGTTCCAAGCTTTCGAAGCAGATTTGTTGGCTGAGAAACCTTATCAAGCATACCTGAACAGCGGCGCGGTTCTCTCTCTGCAGTCCACACCCGCGGGGCGGCGCGAGTCTCCAATCCCACCCAACTTTCTCGGCCGTCCGATGGGCCGGGGGCATCCGAATGCCGTCGATCCGAGATTCGGCTAAAATGTGCTGAAAGTGCCCGGTACGCCCGTGCATCTCATAAGCTATGCGCCGCCGAGTCGGAGTTGCAGTCAGTATGGACTTGTATCTTGCCACTGGACTGACTCGCGGCAGGAGGGCTGCATTGTGTGGCGCCACGGGCATTGGCGAGCTGGAAGGCGGAAGTGTGCGCGTCTTCTTTCTGGCAAGAGGTGAGCAATGCGGCATTTGTTTGCTTTCAAGTCGCTGTCACCAATGGAGAGTCGAGCTATCATTGAAGAGGCTGGTTGTAATGCTGGATACTAGTACTGCCAGTGTAGCAAAGTCAAGCGCATTTGTCAGCAGTAGACTACTAAAGTGGAAAGACGTGACACTGGCTGCACTAATGGGGTCAAACTCCAAGGGCTCTTGTAGCACGCCACTCAGTACACTCCGAGTCATTGAGCTGAAGTGGTGGTCCAGGCTTCAGCTCAATGATTTGTGGAGAATAAAGCATGAGCTTTGAGGTACCTCCGTTGCCAACCAAAGTGCCTCCAAACTGGATGACTTACTGAAGCCCGGTCGAATTTGGCATCTTACACTGTGATCGTCGAGAGTGG